AATTATTAGTATGTGAATCATTGATAATTTACAGAATACTTTCATTTGCACATTATTATTTAGTGTCCCTGATTTCAGCCTTATTCTACTAAAATACGTTCTCAACAAAACAGATTGTTAAACAATCAAATGTTGAAATCATCCCTCTGCTTAAAGCCCTGTGATGGTTTCCCTACATCTTGCTCAGACTAAAACTCCAAGTCCTTATAATGAGGTTGACAATTCTCTCTGTGGTATTCATGCTCTTCCTAAATTTTCCCTGTCCATCTATAAAGGGGCCTAAAATTCTCATTATTAATATTGATTATTTAGTTCAGGGTCGTCAGAACCAATTACATCAGATGATCGGAACATATCCTTTTAGTTCTTGGATCTCAGTCACTTCCCTGGATCATTCCACTCTAGCCTCACTGGTCTCCTTGCTCCTCCTCCACCACCATACTCCTGGGACAAACCCCGCTTAGTCCTTTTCATATACTGTCACATTCAACTTGCTAAAATTTTGCTAAGAAGTTTTGCATTTGTGCTTACGAGACATATTGGTCTGTGTTTCTTATTACTGATAATATCTGGTTTTGGTATCAGAGAAATGCTAGCCTCATAGAATGAGTTGGGAAGTATTCACTCCTCTTGAATGTCCTAGAAGAGTTTGTATAGAATGAGTATTGTATCTTGCTTATATGTTTGGTAGTATTCACCAGTGAAATAATTTGGGCCTCAAATTGACTTTGTGGAAAGTATTTTCATTCGACTTCTTTATAGGTTGAATTTTAAAAATAAACTTGATTTCCTTAATAGGTACAGGGCTATTCAATTCTTGAATACACTATGGTAGCTCATGTTATTCAAGAAATTTGTACATTTTTGTAAAAGTTGTCAAGTTTATCAGCATAAAGTTGTTCATAAAACTCTTTTATTTTCCTTTTATAATTGGTTGAATTTGTAGTGTCACTTCTCTTATTCCTAATATTAGTAGTTCATGTCTTCTCTTTCTTTTTCTGATCTGTCTTGTGAGAGGTTTATCAGTTTTATTGATTTTTCTAAATAGGAAATTTTTTATTTTATTGATTTTTCTCTATCACTTTCTGTTTTAATTTCATTGTTTTCTGCTCTGATCTTTATCATTTTCTTTCTTTTCCTTACTTTGAGTATTCTTTTCTTTTCTTTTTCTAGTTTCTTAACATAGAAGCTGAGGTCTTTACTTTCCAACCTTTCTTCTTTCTAATATGAGTATTTTAGTTTCATAAATTTAGATGCATCTTACAAATTTCAATATTTTGTGTTTTCAATTTCATTCCATTCAAATACTTTCTAGTTTCCCTTTTGATTTCTTGTTTGATTCATGGGTTATTTAGAAGTGTATTATTCAGTTTCCAAATATTTGGGGATCATCCACAGATGCTTTCTGTTATTTATTTTTATTTATTAAACTGATTTTAATTTAATTCAATTGGGGTCTAAGGGCATACTTTGTATTATCTGAATTCTTTCAAATTGATTGAGACATTTTATGGCCCAGAATATGGTCTTGAGCACTATAGACATGTTCTTGCCTCAGGGCCTTTGCATTTATTGTCTCCTCTCGCTGGAATGTTCTTTCCCCAAATACATAGCTCATTCCCTCAACCCCTTTGAGTCTCTATTCAAATGCTATCATCGTGGTGAGGCTTTTGCTGACCACTAAATATTAAATGTTCATTTGCACAGTGCCAGATACTCCCCTCCTCCTTCCTTGATTGAGTGCTTTCTACTGTACTTATTATCTGTGTGTATGTGTGTGTGTGTATGTGTATGTATGTGCGTGTGTGTGCGCGCGTGCACGCGCGCACGTGTGTGTGTGTGTGTAGTCTTTCCTTTACAGAGCATAAATTCCATAAGGCAGGAATCATTGTCTATTTTACTCAGCACCTGGGACAGTGCCCAGCACATAGTAGGTGCTCTATAAACATTTGTTAACTGAATTTGATTTTTAAAACCCCTGTGAGTTAGCTAGGGATAGTTTTATTACCACTATTTTATCGGCATAGTAAGCAGCCAGCACAATGTAAAATCAAGACTCTTTACAATCTCTCTATTATATAATAATGCCTGCCACTAGTGCCAGCTGCCTTGTAGCTGTTTTGTGTCAGGTATTGTGCTAGAATCCAAGGATTCCAAGATGAATGAGCAGAGCTCTGGCCTTCAAAAGGTTAGTAAGGACTGTAGCTGAAGCTGCATGGTGGAAGTAGTTGGAGATAAAACTGAAAAGTAGTAGGGTCTTGTTCATGGTGCAAAATCCTTAGATTTTATCCAGAGAACAATGAGTAGCCACTGGAGGGCTCAAAAAGGAAGTGGCATGACCAAATTTGCAAATTAGAATGATTTAGATTACATGAATTATTTTCATTCAAGTAGTATGCGTTGGGTGCTTCTTTTGTGTCTAGGACCATTCTCAGTGTTGGGGCTACAGCAGAGAACAAAAGCCTCAGGAAGTTTCCAGCTTCCTGAAGAAGACTAACAATAAACAAACAATCAAATAAAAATACAATATACTTTCAGGCAGTTGTAAATTCACTGGAGGACAATAAAGGAGCATAAGAGACTTGAGAGTCCTGGAGTGAAATGTGTTTTAAGTAGGGAGGTCAGGGAAAGCCCAATTAAGGAAGTTGCATTTGAGCAGAGATGTCAATGCAATGAAAAGGGAAGACAATTCCAGAGAGTTACAGGGAGAAGGGCAAGGACCACATATAACAACTGTAACACAGAAATGAGCTTTGCATGCTTTAGGAAAATTAAAGAGGCCACGGTGCCTAGAATTGAGAGAATGGTGGGGAAGGGTGGTGTGCAATAAGGATAGACAGGTAGGCAGTGATAGTGGGGTTTTACTCTAAATGTACCCAGAAGTCACAGGAGCATTCAAATCAGCAATGGTATCTGATTCACTTTTCAGAATGACTCTGGTGGATGTATAGAAAGCAGACCGAGGCATGTCAAGAAAGGAGGAAATGAAACCACTCAGGAGACTATTGCAGTAGAGCAGGCAGAAGAGGATGAGAGAACCTGGGGTCTACAGTGGAGATGGTGGGATATGGAATTGGTAGAGTAGGCATTATTTGCTAATGGACTGGATATGGGGTGTGAGGGAAAGAAGAATTTTAGATGATGCCTAAAATTTTGCCTAAGCAATTAACCAATGTTGGTGCCATTTCCTAAAAGGGGGAAGATTGTGAGAAGGGTTGTTATGAACTGAATTGTGCCCCTACCCTGAAATTCTTGCACTGAAGCCCTCATCCCCAATGTGGCTACAGAGATAGGGGTTTTAAAGAGGTAATTCAGAGAGCTAAATGAGATCAGGAGAGTGGGACTCTAATTCAGTGTGGCTGGTGTCCTTATACGAAGAGAGAGGCACCGGATGTGCATGCACTCAGTGAGAAGGTGGCCATCTGCAAGCAAGGAGACAGATCCAGGAGAAACCAGACCTTCTGGCTCCCTTGATCTTGGACTTCCAACCTCTAGAGCTGTGAGAGAATAAGTTTCTATTGTTTAAGCCACCGAGCCTTATTTTGTTATGGTAGCCTCAGCAAACTAATACAGAAGTGAAGGATAGTGAAAAAAAATGTAGTTTTCTCTTGACGTTGAGTTTCCAATGCGCGTTGGACTTTCAAGCAAAGGGGCTGAGTAGGCACGGTGTGGGACATATAATTCTGAATTCAGGGAAGATTTGGGGCTGGACAAATAATGGAAAGTCATCAACAAAAGATGGTATTTGATAGGAAGAAAATATTCTCCAGTCTTTATGTTCCTATGAGGAGATGTCCATCAGTGAACATCTTAATTCTTACTGTTCCCTGAGTTACTTCCCCAGGGAAGGATTGGCCAGGTTGAAGAAAGAACCCAATATTCATGCTTCATTCATTTTCGTGTGCTCTTTTGGGATATCTGCTTTAGAGATATATGTTCTAACCTCCATGCTGTGAGTGTTTCATGACTGGATTTGCCCTGGAGGAGGGCTGTGGTTGTCCAAGTGTTCCTGGGTTAGAATGGGTTAGTCAGTGACTCAACCATATCCTCTGATATAAACATTTTAAAAATAGGTAATAAGGTAACATTTTTATCTCTCTCTTTGACTCCATTCTATCTGCAATTGATCTGAACTTAAGGGCTGGCTAGATAAAGTCACCTGTTCAGTGGTTATAGATACAAAAATAATGTGAAACATAAAACTGGGACATGACAACATTAAGAGAGGTGGAGGAAGAGTCATCAAAGGAGACTGAGAAACCAAAGTTAGAAGAAAATCAGGAGGTGGATGGTTGGAACCAAGTGAGAAATTCTTAAGAAGGAAGGGGTAGTCTTGTGTTTCAAAACCTGCTGGCAGGTTGACTTAAATGAGGGTACATGAAATTAGTGGGATGGCCATGTATGGCACCTGAGTTATATTACATATAAAATGAACAGTGTAATGGTGATCTGCCTGGCAAGGGGATAGTGAGGAATGGTTCCTGGCACATAGTAAGGGATAGCTATTCTTCATAAACATGAGAAGCTGGATATTATGGGAATGGAGTTAGTTAAATGGACTGAGCTGGAAATACAACTATATGGACACCAAGAAATGAAAAGCCCTAAAGAACACATAAGTAAGTAGGTGAGAGAGTGAAGAATGTGTGTGTGCATGTGTGTGTGTGTGCATGTGCACGCAGTAGTATTAATAGTGGTAGTAGTGGGTGTGCAGTTAGATACATAAAGCTTTAATGATGACTATTAAGAAAATATGTTTGAATCATGATAATAAAAAGGTATTGGTCTTCTTGTCTCAATTAGGATTTGGAGTTCTTATCAGTAAGCTATTTCTTCATAAGAAAACCTGTTTTAAAAAACAATTTATCTTCTCCTAAATTGCTGTGCCTTAGCAACTTGGGCTGGGCTCAGCCTGGTGATTCTTTTGCTAGTCTTGCCTGGGGCCACTCATCTGGCTGAAATCATCAGACAGCTCACTGAGGCTGGATGGCCTCACTCACCTGGCTGGAGGCTGGCTCCCTCTGTTGGCTGGGAGTAGTCTCTCATCCTCATGGAGGCTGGTCCAGGCTTCATTATATGGTGTCCTCATGGCAGCAAGAGCAAAAGCAAAAGCAGAAAGGCTTGATGACTGGCATTCTGAGGTCATATGATGTCATTCTGAGGTCATATGATGTCCTTTCTTTTGCTTTCTGTGGTGAAGGCAAGTCACAGGGCCAGCCTATATCGAGGGGAGAGGAAATAGAGTGTATGTCCTGATAGGAGGACTGGCAAAGCTGCATTCCAAAGAGACATGTGCACAAGAATTGGAAGAATTGTTGTAGCTATCCTTGTAAACTGTTGAACAATGGTCTGATGGCACATTTTTTATGTTGTTACCATATGCTCACCAAATAGGATCTCAAATGTATAAAAACCTCCATACCACCAACTATGCCCAGAATAAGCCTTGTACATGATATGTTATGGGTGAGGTAAAAGTAGAGATGAGTAAAGGTAGAGATGAGTTTGTTCTCTGATGTGATGTTACCTATGGTCAAACTCTCCATCCATGAGAAGATGGGTAGTTCGTCAAGTGAACCAAGTGGTCATAGGGATAGAACTAGAGAAGAGAGTATCCTGGGATCCTGAGAGCTGGAGAGGAGATACCAAAACAGAGTCATATACTGGAGAAATTGAAGTTGAAACACAATGGTAGACCAAATAAAAACACAAAGCTAAAAGATCAGAGCTAAACTGAGACAGTACCTGTAGCATTCACAGCTTGCCAGTGGGGTATACTGTGCTGACTTAAAGGACCCAAAGCAAGACAGGTACTTACGGTGTGGTTGACAGGGGCACTTGGTATCAAAGAATGGTTCCAGATCTGATGATGTCCTGTTCTGTGCTCTGAACTCTGGGGCTGTGGAGGTCACTCCATTCCTCTCTTGTCTTATACATCAACCACAGCCAGTAGCTAACCAGAAAGTGGTAGGAGAGTTCACAGTTTCAGAAAGGAGTTGGTATATTTTTTGGGGAATGTTTCTTCTACTTACTACCACTGTATCTATTTCACTCACATTAATCTTTAGATCCCAGTGACAGTACATCAAGATAGAGGCCATGCAATGGATTCCATCTAAGGATCCAAAGCCATGTTTTCCTTGGTGTAGATGTCAAAGATGTCCTGGTGCTGTGATGGGCCACAAAATCCTGCAGACACCTTGTGAAGGTGATTTGTTTATTTTTTTTTAAAGCCAAACCTTGCTTGATCCTATATCTTATCTGTCATTTCTAGCTAGGGTCTCTGATTTTCAACTCTGTTTTCCTTTCAGAATTTGAATTCAAGAAAATAGTATATGTTAAAGGATACACTGAAGCATAGCTCTGGTGTCAAACTGCCTGACACTTACTGGTTATGTGACTGTAATAAAGTGAATTAGCCTTCTTATGACTCAGTTTCCTTAAGTGCAAACCGACAAACAGCAGTATTGACCTCATGCCATCATTGTAATGATTAAATCAGTTAATGCGAATAAAGCTGTTGAAACAATGCTGAACGCATGGTTAGCATTAAAAAAAAAAGTCTTTGCTGTCACTATTGCTGTTGTTGAAAAAAATTACAGAAATAGACTCAAATATTCCCATTTTTAAAAATACTTGTAGTTAAATTGGGAAAACAAACTATGTATATATAAAAGATATAAGGAGAAGTTGAAAGGCCATGTTTGAGAAAAACAGATTGACAGTCCACACAATTGCTGAGGAGGACCAATATGAGAAAGGATGACCAATAAAGGGATGTGTCACTTAGGAGGAGGGTCTTGGTAGGGAACTTGGAGAAATGGTGTTTGGCGGGAGAACAAATGAGCAGTGTGGACAATCGATTAAATCCCCCAGCCTCCCACCCCCATGCTCAAATGTGCATAATGGGGAAGTGGTGAACTCTTTTCTATTACTCAGACTTGATTCTTTGAACAGCTCTCACCTTACTGTTTGGGGGGTGTGGGCCAAAGTATAGTTAAGTGCCGCTTTGATGTAACACCAGTTTTCCTATTGGGTTGCTGTTTTCGTTGTCATATCAATAGGTGAGTTTCCCACAAGTTCTCTTTAAGAAAATATAGAGTTGATTCAAAGGAAACAAGGTTGTTTCTTCTTGATGAAAAGTAAGGTGAAGTGTTCTTAAGCACTGAACACTTTGTTTACTTCACTCGCTCTGCCCAGATTCCGTTCTCTGGTGGAAATATGTGCGTAATTCTACAATTACATTTCTTTGTGTGCCTGAAATGTTATGAGGCAGTTTCATTAACAATGCCAAATTCTTAGCTTAATCCTCCTTAGAGGCTGTAAAGATTTATTTTCACGTTTAGTCCAGTGACAGATAACTTTTGGCCCTTCTCCCTCAATATTTTAATATATTGGTATGTTTCAGTGTATGTTTTGAATATATTGGTATACAAGAAAACCAAATAGACCCTTGTAGTCTGTACATCAAAATCAGTCTCTCTGATTACCTGCGTTCTCCATTTTAATCCACACGGAACACTAAACAGATTTTCTTACTAAAGCACAGGCCTGGTGATGTTCTTGCCTTTCAAAACCTCTCAATGTCTCCCCACAGCTTGCAGAATGAAGTCCACTTTCCACAGTGTGACATTCAAGGCCCTGTGCAACCTTTCCCAAGTCCCACTTCCCAGGCATCCTTCATTAACCCCTGCTGCGGCTCAGTATTCACCTGTTTCTACTCTTGTGTGCGTTCTCATGCCTTTCTGGCTCTGATGATGCAGAGTAGCTTGGCCTTCCCTCTTTTCTTCCTGGACATGTCTTGGTGATCTTTGAAGGACTTAGCAAACCGGCCCCTCCAATTCTCAATCACTGGTCTCCTTCTGGGCCTTCATAGCTTTTGACTGATACCCCCAGCTGTGTGATAGACACGGGTGGCTGCTATCCTGTCACGAAGGCCATAGTTCACTTAGAAATACTGAGATGGCGGGCTTCCCAGACTAAGACTGCTTCTGGATCAAATCAAAGATCCTAGGATGTAAATTTTAAAGTCTCCAAGTTGTTCAGTCTGCCCATACATTTGCGATGCTTGGGCACTCTAGATAACACAAAATTTTATTGAAATTTACTTAGAAATCTGATAGTACATCATGAATGTACAAGTTGAAATTAAAGCCACCTACTCTAGTCCGGGTGTCCCTCTGGTGGTGAGGGGTTTTCTTACATTACCTCCTTTAGGCCCCACTGTGGTAGGCCTCATCATAGTTTCTGAAAGTCAGACGTTGAGCCCCTGGGGCAGGTGGGAGGCAGGGAAGGCCAGTTGGTACCAGTGTGGGTGTCTGGAGCCCGACTGCGTGGGTTCGAAGTCTGACCGTGCCGTTTGCCAGCTGGTACCAGTTACTACACCTTTTTGTGCCTGAGATGCCTTCACTGTAAAATACGATGGTATTATCTTCCTCATGGGTTCTATTTTTCTTAAGAATAAAATAAGTTAATATATGTAAAGCACTTAACAGAGCCCAACATGTAGTAAGCATATGCAAGTGTTAGCTATTGTCATCATCATCATTAACTTCAATGATCACAGAACTAAAGAGTCAGTGAGTCAGGATTTGGACTCAGGTCTGTTGGGCTCCAAAGACTGTCCTTTTATGCATGTCAAATCACCTCCTGCTAGGCCTGTTTGCCTTGAGATTAAAAAATAGAGTGGAAAGTTCCTTTTCAACTTTTCTCTCAGGGACTCAACCCCCTTATCAAATTATTGCGGTTTAAAATGCATGGCCAGTGCCTCCTGCACACTTTCTGGAGTTGAAGGCTCCACAAGCATTAGTATGAGAAAGTTCAAATTCTGCTTTTGTAGAAGAGTAGGAATTACCATGGGTCCTCTTACAAAAGTTGTTCCAGGATGGTTTGCTGTACCTGTGATATCGCTGTTATTTCTCTATGGGTGTTTGGGCCTTCTATACACAGCCACATAGTTAGAAAGGACCCAAACAGCCTTAGCACGCTTGTCCATACAGCACATACAGCAGTTCTCTCCACCTTCGTGGGGTGAAGGAAGGTTTTCTAAAGTTGTAGGAGTGTCTCTTCCTCCCCACCCACTCCAACCCCCTTCTTCTGTTCCTCAGAAAGGCCTGGGCCCCACATTGTTCAGGAAGAGCAAAGCAGAGGTGAGAGGAAGATAAGAAAGGTGTTATGTTTGGCATGACTGGTTTAGGCTTAAGATTGGGCCTATATAGCCGTTAGGGTGAATTTTTTAATATACATTGAGTGTAGCTTGCTGTATCTGCATTTGTATGCTACATTAATTAAGCAAGAGTCTTAGATTGTGAGATGAGTTCCCTGAGGGTGTCATGCTTTTAATTTAGTGAAATTCAATTAAATCCAACAAATTCTTTCTAGGCCTCAAGCTATGACAACAGCTTAGGTTTGTGGTTATAAACTTATAGAAGATGAGGTCAGCAGTCTTCAGAAGTTCCAAGTCTTGTCCAGGAGACAAAAAAATAACTAAGAAACTCTAACACAGTTTGTTCAGTTCTATAGTGGAAATACCCGGCGACAATTGTGAGCCCATGCCAGCAGGGAGATGGCCCGGATGATTGACTGGGGCAGATGGTGGTTTGAGGGAGTTGTAAGAAGAAAGCTATCTCTGAAGAGAAAAGCTATCTCTGAAGAGAAATTACCACATGGAAAAAGGGGAGATGAACACATCAAGCAAAGGGGAGGACAAGAGCTAAAGCTTAGAGTTGTGAAATCATCAGTTTATTCAATTGACTGACTTAAAAATAGCAGTTTAGAAGTATTCAAACTATTTTCTGAGATTAACACCTTATAATAGCCCTATGAGGTAGGTTCTATTGTTATTTTTATTTTACAGAAGACAAAATTAACATGTCCAGTGATATAGCCAGTAAGCGACAAGATTTCAGCAAGGCAAGCTACCTCCAAAGAAAGATAAAATTATTAAACATTAAACGTAACCATTATTCTGTATGCCACATCTCTAGATTGACTCTTGTCAACTCTCAGAGTCACCTGGGAGATTTCTAGAAATATGAAGATCCTGGCCCTGTCCTCAGAGAGTGATTAAGTGCCTCCTCTTGGCAAATGACTTCACTATCCAGCCCGTTGCTTAAACCTGAGCCTTGGGAGTAATTTGTGGCACCTCTTCCTTCATCTTCTACATTCAATTCATCTCCAGAAATCAAATATCATGGACTGTGAAGTTGAATGAGAAAG